CAACAACACAACTAACTAACAGCAGTTAAATTTATTGAATAAATTAAACAGTTTTACTTTCATATAGAGGAAGAGAGAGAGAAAAGTATTTGAACCATGAATTCGATATGTCCAAAAATTTATATATATATATATATATATATATATATATTTATTTATTTATTTACGAAAATAACTATTATTATTGATGAATTTATTTTAAAAAAAATTATAAATATATATATATACTGACACATTTATTATTAAATAAAAAAACTGTCAACTATGTGTACTTTTATTTTCACGTTTAAATAATGTAAATAAATCGGTTAGTTTGATAGAAAATTATTTTTCAATGAAAAATAAAATAAATAAACCAAAATTCTTCTAATTCATTACATTGTATTAGTTTTGAGAATTTGAAATAAATAAATTAATTAAGTTTGGTTTTTTTGTTTGTTTTGTTTTACTGTGCAACAATTCGTTATTCAACTTGAACATTGAATTCATTTTGACTTGGCATTTTTTGTTTTTATCTTATTGAATAATAATAATTTAATGAAATGAAAACGTTTATTTTTTGTCTTTTTTATTTTTCTAAACAGTATTTTATTTTTAACCATGAATCGATCAATGTTAGACCACCATTAGAAACCTGGAAGCACTGGACGGCCGTTTCGTCCTAGTATGGGACTCCTCAGCAGTGCTCATCCACGACTCCTGTACCCCGCAGGATTCGAGCCCAGGACCTTCGGTATTGTACGTGAACGCCCTAACCGTTAGACCACTGAGCCTGTATCTAACGGTGTTATTGTCTAACTTGATCAAATTCACGGAGTTGCGCAACCTCATACCCTGTATACATCCGGACAGGTTTGAACTTCACTGGTCACGACTTCCCACTAGAACTCGGAGAAGATTCCTCACCAAGCTAGTCACTGGTGGACACATGAAATTGCATTGCGGGGTTGTTGTGAAGATTGTTAAGTTTTATTTGTAACCATGAATCAATCAATGTTAGACCACCATTAGAAACCTGAAAGCACTGGAAGGCCGTTTCGTTCTGGTATGGGACTCATCAGCAGTAATTATTTCGAAAATTTTTATCAAATCTACTGTTGATAAATATAAATGATTAAATTATTTTGAAAATTCTTGAAAATAAAATTTATAACCGGATATCGGAAGATAATTTAACCATTGAGATACAACTACTATTTCAAAGTATAGCATTCACACATTGAAATCATGAATCAATCATTGTTAGACCACTATTAGAAACCTGGAAGCACTGGACGGCCGTTTCGTTCTGGTATGGGACTCGTCAGCAGTGCGCATCCACGACTCCTGCACCCTGCAGGTTTCTAATGGTGGTCTAACATTGATCGATTCATGGTTACAAATAAAACTTAACAATCTTCACAACAACCCGGCAATAAACATTATTTGTCAATGAAATTATGAAAAAAACAACAAAAGAAATTCAATGTTGTTCAGTTTAGTTTGATAACAAACACATTGAATAATGAACTTATAAAATTTAAACAAATTAAGACTGTTATTGATAAGTGAACAGTTTGACAAGATAAATATCGGTGCGATCTGTTCAGGATCCATAAGTGTCGAAAGAGATAGCTACTAATCAAAGCTGAAGCTATTTGTTGACATTAACTGAGGTGTTCAAACAAAAACAGAAACAATCTGTCTAATTCTTCTCAATGTTTATAAGAATAGTATGTAATGAAAATTATTTAAAAAGACAACAATCTTTCCGATCTGTTTTGATGACATTTTTTAAATTACCCGTAGAAAAATCGGTCAAAATGATAAAAGTTGATATTTTTTATGAAAGGTAAAGATCACGGATTGATCGCAGGCAATCACTTAAAAATGGAAGGCATTAATTAGACAGCGATGATTTGCCTGAGTTAGACATATCAACCATAAGATGTTGGATTAAGTGATCTAAAAGTTAACCACTCACAGTGAGACATGGAGTTCTTCGATTCAATCCTCGGTAAGGGTGGTAGTTGAATATTATTAGTTAGTCGCATACTATGACGAAACAGCTGTCCCTGAGCACGACAGTTTTTATCGGTTTTCCAACTGAGATAAGCCTACAATTTGAACTATAAAATTCAAATGTCTAAAAGCCTCTAATATATACACTAAGAGTTTAACAAATACTTATGTTCTACTGTCAGAATAATTTACATTAAAATATGTTGGGGATGTTAGATCCCCAGAACTCATTTGATAAAGGTCTTAATTTTGGATTTTATTCTTGGGCTGATCAGTTGAACTTGCGATCACATTTCCCACCGGGAAAATCCTTAGCTGTGATTGATTGGTGTGTTATTTTAGTACGCTATTTTTGTGGCTCTCCCTTGGACGTTTCTATGATGTATAAATAAACGCGATTAGTGTGCTTGACATCATTACATTTTCTAGGTGAATGTAAAATACACTTTCTACACCATATCAAGACTTTTCTCTTCAGTTAGTTGAGGCAAAGAATCAGAGCAGCCTACCGTGTCACTGGGTCATTTTCTCGTTCTTGTTTATCGACTAAGGTGAACTCGTCACAGTTTCAAGCATATCAACTGATGAGCATAACAAAATCATGGCTCAACAGAGTGAAGACTCATTTCATTTTAATTGAAGTTAAGTCATTCGACTATGTTTTCGACATACAATTAAAATAATTTTGTCTAAAACATTGATTACACCGTAATTTATTTGCGTACACTGTTCGAGTATTGTTATTATTATTATTATTATTGATTGTCAAAGACCACATTATATACTTTCATATACAATCACATTTCAAACACTCTATCGTCAGTTAAACTATTAAATCTACAATGAAAAGGGATTTCTGTCTAAATTCCAATAAAGTTTCTCTTTGAATACAAATCATGTTTATTAATCTCAATTTATTGTCGTAATGTTAGTCATAATTGACATGTGTGAACAAGAACAACGTGTATTTCACAGAAATTTCTTTGTGATTAATAGCTTTTTTTATTTTACTTGTCAGTTAGAAAAAAATAATTGAGTTGGTGCATTCATATATAGTTTTAATTGTTGCCTTTGTTACTTTTCATAAGTGAATATACATGAGATTAAAAGAAATGGATTGAAACATTATACTTGAATAAAAATCCACTTCAGTTTGAATATTATTGAATATTAATCAATATTTATTCATGATATTACCACCAGTAAGAAGAGCCTAATTACTGTGATAGAGAATGAAACCAGATTCTAGCAGAGGAAGAAACTAGGGAAAAACCTATGGAGGACACATACTGGAGGAAAGCATCCAAATGCATCACAAGACAAGCTGTCAATTGGAATCCTTAATGCCAAAAGAAAAGAGAAAGACCAAAGAACGCAATACACTGAGAATTTGAAGCAGACATTGAGAACAATAAACAGTAATCAGGTAGAACTGAAAATGAAGGCTCAGGACAATGAAGGCTGGAGAATGCTGATGCTCCATTAGGGGTTACAGTCTTAAGAAAATAAGTAAGTTAGACATGTCAGATGATTTGATTTATAATAATTATTTTTCATAACCGATTATATATGACAATAAAAGAACTAGGTTGAAATACTACTCTTGAATAAAATTTACTTGAGTTTGAATATTAGATGCTTAGGCAATATTACTCGTACTGCTTAATTGTTAAGATACTCAGTTAAGTTTTCTTTATTACATGAATATCATCTGTTTTTGATAAACTTTCTAAAATCAAATTTTTTATTCGAATTTCTTCAGTAAACCATCAATATCATCAACAGAACACAATATCGGTTCATTAGACTGACGTTTGCGAGAGAACAATCCAGCTTCCAGAAAGAAGCGCTGGAGGTGAATAGGATACACGTTGTGGAAAGCACCCAACTACGCTACAAGACAAGCCGATACATGGAATCCTCAGGGTCAACGGAAGAGAGAAACACATTACGCCGAGAAATGGAGACCGACATGAGAAGAATGAATAAAAATTTTACAGAACTGGAAAGGAAGACGTAAAATAGAGTAGGTTGGAGAATACTGGTAGGCAGCCTATGCTCCATTGGGAGTAACAAGCGTAACTAAGTAAGATAGACAAACCTTTAGCAAGTTATTCAGTAATCTAATCATCAAACAACAACTCAGCACCATTATCCTGAAAATGAAACGTTAAAGTACTGATCCTACTTTGCTTTTGTAGATCTTTTGAGCAAATACTCTTAACAAGATGTTCTGCATATACATTGAATCACAGAAGTAATAAACGTATCATTATGGCTGATTTGGTTTTGAACTGTCAACCGCAATAAACGAGCAAAATGGCTAATTCGTTATAGATAGAGTGCATTCACTTGTCTTTTTAAAAAAACATCACAGTCATACGATCAATGTTCAACACATTCAAGCCAATATATATATACATATAACTAACTAACAAAAACTAAACACTTCAATAATTACAGAATTTTATTCAAGCTATCAACTGAATTACACAATCAACTGTATAGATTTGTTTCAGTCAGTCAAATGAAGTACAAGATTGTTGTCAGTAATTCAAATTTCTTCAGTAAACCAACATACCATCAATAGAACAAAAATATCTATTCATTAGACTGACATTTTTACGAGAGAACAAACCAACTTCCAGAGTAGGAAGAAATCAGGAAGAAGCCCTTAGAGGTAGATAGAATACACATTGAAGAAAGTACCCAACTGCATTACATTGAGAAGACTGAGGTAGACGCGGAAGATTTTATTTAGCAAATTTACACTCTTAGTCAATTAAAAAGGAAAACATTACATTGAACATTCTATTTGCACACCATCTTTGAGTCGTGACTTCCAACGCTCCATCCTTCTTCCATTCCTGTTGTTGCTTCCTTTCCTTCCTGCTGGTACTACTCCATTTACTTCTTGCTTTTGCTCCATTTGCTTTCCGTTTTCCTCTTCTGACCGTGAGACTTCTTCTTTCACGTCCCTTCTTATACTACTTATATCGTTCGTATAAGTAGCACACACCACAACACGACTATCCCCCGAATGGAATTTTCAGGGTCAATAGAAAACAGAAAGACCAAGGAACACATTTATGGTGTATTCGTATTTCATTGACTAGCATTACATTGATATGTATACACAATTAAATATACAAAATGAAATTAGAAATTTCTAGAATGGTTTTATTGAAAAAAAGAATAAATCAATTCGAATGATAAACAATTTCATTGTCCACTGGTGGTCGCATAGTTAGTTGTTCACGTGTTAGAAATACATTGAAATAACCAACTAGAACATTCTGTAAAAATAAATTTAGAAGAAAAAAGTATTTTAACAAGATACAGGATATTTTTTTAAATTGTATCTATTGTGTTACAGATAACTTCCTTTCATATATCTGGTACCGTATATACAGTATAATGTAATTGTACCTTTGTATATGAAGGTACACTAATTGATTGATGAACTAATTTGGGGTAATGAGGAAAAATCTTGATTATCTCTTGAAATTTTGGGGCAGAGTTTTGGAGGTTTGTGTTTTTTTACACATTTGAAATCATCAATCAATCATTGTTAGACCACCACCATTAGGAAACTGGGAGCATTGTACGGCCATTTTGTCCTGGTATGGGACCAATCAGTAACGCGCATCCACGACTCCTGTACCTAGCATGATCCGAACCCAGGATCTACGATCTTGCACGTGAACGCCTAACCTCTGCACCACTGGGCCGGCGTCCAACGGTGTTAATGTCTAACTCTAATCTAATGGTGGTCTCACAATGATTGATTGTTGATTTCAAATATTTGAAAACAATAATCTCCATAACTCTAATTGAAAAATAAGATTATTATTATTATTCTCAGAACACGACAATTCCTACTTTCATTGAAATCATGAATCAATCATGGCTAGAGCACCATTAGAAACCTGGAAACAGTGAAAAGTCGTTTCGTCATAGTATGTGACTTATTGGCAGTAAACATTCACGAACTCCGTACGCGGGAAGCCGTGACCAATTGAGTCCAACCATATCGGTTGTAAGATAGTTACCCACTAGTGATGTTGTGATGTTGTGATGGGTGATGTTGTGCAATAACTTGGCTAACTGCACGCACGCGAAACCAAAGGTCCTGGGTTCGATTCCTACGAGCAGGGGTCATGGATGCACACTGAAGTTTTTAATGGTGGCCAAACAATGATTGCTTCATGAATTCAATGAGACTCAACAGTCTGCATAACTCTATAATGAAAATTCCTTGGAACTTAACTGATCATACATTTTAATAATAATTCTTTTAGTGTTTCAGTTTCAATCAACACATGAAATCGATTATTTTCAACATATAATTACAGCATTTATGCTTTTCATACTTGAATATTTTCAATCCAAAGTAACATATTAATAATCATAACAGTATTCTAAATTAAATTATAAGGTGCAGATATATAGATAGATAGATAGACTGAAGCTTAAAAAGTAGTCATCAAATATATTCTTTGTAAATTTTTAAAATCTTTTAATAAAGCAATGAAATCATTTGTTTTCCAACAACTTCTTTTTAAAAAATTGTGTCTTTAAATTTACATGATAGTATTATGGAGTTGGCTGTTTCCACAAATTGAAATGATTGTTAGGTCAGCATTAAGAAGCCTAGAACGGCCGTTTCGTCGTGGTATGAGACTCATCAGCAGCGCACATCCATGATTCGTGCTAACCGCAGGATTCGAGCCAAACACCTTCGGTCTTGTGTGCGAACGCTTAACCTCTGGACCTCTAATATCTTTAAATCATTCAATAATTTACATCAACTTAAATAGTTGACATATTCTCATTAATCAGTATTAGTCTGAAGTATCACGTGTTTTGACGATTCACTGAGTTTGTTATTTTAGTTGTTAGAAGAAATAACAATAATTTATTTGAATATTTGTTAATATTTAAATAAAAAATTACTTTTAATATATGACTGAATGTAGCATTGAAAATTATTTGCTTTGTTATCTTATCGAATCCTTCGAGGTGCAGGAATCGTGGGTGCGCATTGCTGATGAGTCTCATACCAGGACGAAACGGTCCTCTAATGCTTCCAGGTTTCTAATGGTGGTCTAACATTAATCGATTCATGATTTCGATGAGTAACAACACAGCAATCTTCACAACGCCATAATGGAAAAAAAACATAACAGAACAATGAATACAAGTTATTTACCGCATTTCTTTCACGTGCATAAGCATTTACATCGAAAGTAGCTAATCTTCCACGTAGTTTAGATACTACAGCTTCTATTTGACATGTTTCATCAACGAATACTATGATTAAATGAATGAAAAAAAGTTCAGTATTATTATTATAACTACTGAAAAGAGAGAATTAAGTAGTTTAAGTATTTAATAATATTAAGTAAAGATAATGCATGAAATAGTTTACTTCATAGAATCACCGTTTATTGAATTAATGAAGTTTAAAATGGAATATTGTAAAAATGAATCTACTAAGCAGAGGAGAACCTACACACCAATCCATATTGCGATAAACAGTAAGTGAAAGACATCTCTACACGTGATATACTGCTTTGGATCGATCCTACTGAACCGTTTACTCGACTATGTTATCATTCATAGCTCGTTACAATAAAAATTATGGTCACGGATTGTTTGTTAAGACGAAAACCAGTAAAAAAGAAACAGATAAATTCAGATTAAATAAAACTCGAATAACATTTTTTCTATGTGAAGTAATCTACAACCGGAATCGATTCATAGAATTCAAGCTTTTGTGTATGTATGTCTACAACTGACTAGTCCAAAAAAATATGAAATAATTGTCCTATACCACGTGACTGTAATTTGTTTGTTAGTTTTCTGTGATTAAATCCAACTTTAAGTATAGATTTCAAATTATTATCATAACACATACATACATCTATTTCAGCTAGCTGAACTATACTACTTATATACCAAGTATTGCTTAGAATGATTTTTTTTTAACAATAGTCATTCTGTGTTGAATTAGGTTATTACATATGATAAACTATAGAAATAAAAATCAGTCTATGTTTTTCTCTTATGATGGAAAAACACTTTTGAGATTGTAAAGAAAATTTGTAGTTCTAGTGGCTGATTTTAGAAAAATTTAGTACTCTTTCAATTGATACAGTAGTGAATCTTCATCAGTTAAGGTAGTTATTATGCCCAACCATCGACTGCCTCGATGAACGATGTTTTATGATGTAAGGGTAGGCTGGAAGACATCTGTAGACAGTCAAATCAAAACATGGTACCAATTCATCAAGTCATTGTCAAGTGGATTATTGAGTAATGTTAGTGAGTGTAGACTACCTGGTTGAGGTCTGCTAGACAACAGTAACCAGATGGTTAAAGACTTTGAATGACATGGCTCAACATTGTATGCAACGGTGAAGATGCATTCATTCTTTGTGTTCTAATCTTCCGAATTACTCATCACTTTTATCTTTTTTGGGGCACAGTTTTGGAGGTTTGCGTTTTTACACATTTGAAATCATCAATCAATCATTGTTAGACCATCATTAGAAACCTGGAAGCACTGGACGGCTGTTTCGTCCCGGTATGGGGGTGATCAGCAGTGCGCATCCACGACTCCTGCTCCTCGCATGATTCGAACCCGGGACCTTTGGCATTTTAGGCGAACGCCTAACCATTGGACCACTGTGCTGGCCAGCATCCAAAGGTGTTAATGTCTCACTCTGATTGATCTAGGGATTTTGCGCGACCTCGCCCATTTGTCTTTGGTAGTTACTGCCTACACCCGATAGGGTTGAACTCCATTGGTCACGTCTTCTCAACCAGAACTCCGAGAATTTCCTCACGAAGCTAGTCACTAGTGAGCACTGTTACGATATTTTGAGGCACAGTTTTGGAAGTTTGCGTTTTTACACATTTGAAATCATCAATCAATCATTGTTAGACCACACCATTAGAAACCTGGAAGCACTGGACGGCCGTTTCATCCCGGTATGGGACTCATCATCATCTTTTCTTTTTTTTAAAAATTTATTTCACTGAATAACTTCTTCGATCCCTTATACTTTTCCATTACCTCTAATACTTCTACCACCTCTACTGTTATGGGATTTGAATAGACAATCGCATCATTGTGCTCATGTTATTTGACAACTTAAACTGATGTACACACGAACAAAGTTCTGCGTTGTCGCTGAGTGAATTTAGTTCCCCTAGCTGAATGGTTCGATAAGGAAGCATTCATTGTGATTATGAACAACATTGTCAACACAAACTTCACTCCTACCAATCATTTGTGCTAAAGAGATTGTTTAGAAATAGCTTCACAAGCAAACTATTCAACTCAGAGAAACATATCAAAGTAAGTTATAACTCATTTAATAAACTTATATTGTTATTTTTTTTTGCACTAAATATAAAAACAAAACGGTTCATTTAGTATTCATGAATAAATTAATTTTTTTTAAAAAAAAATTGAAATATTTAATTTATTTACACTAGAATATAAACAATCAATGAGAGTTGTAGTTCTTATTATGATGATACACTAAGAAATAAATTATCAAATCCCTTGAGATCATACTGTAGAGTAGTTGAATGATTTCGTTCTCTTGTTAATTTTAGCTTTTGTCAACTTGCATCACTTATATAGCATAGGTGAGATATCCATCTGCTAATCAAAGGACAAGTTCATTGTACATCAGTTCACTCCGTCCTACTATGCAGGTGTGAAACATAGCCACTAAGAGTAAAGGATATTTGCAGGCTACTGGTATTCAATCAAAGGCGTTTTTCAATCATTGGTCGTATATCCTAGGACCACCGTGTAAGCAATACTGTAGTTAGGAAAAGGGTACTAAGTAAGGATGGCAGATCAATATATCAAGCAATGGAACTTTATCAGTAGAGGTGGTTGAGATATTAGTTACGAATGACCAACTACCGACTGCCTCGTCCAATCGCTGGTGTAGGGGTAGGCTGGAAGAAATCTAGGGGCAGCCAAACCAAAACATGGTACCGATTCATCAAGTCACTGACAACTGGATTCATTCATGTTGGTAAGTGTAGAATACCTGGTTGGGGTCCGCGAGACGATAGTAACCGAAGGTTAGAGACCTTGAATGAAATGGCTCAAAATCGTTTGTAATATTGCAGGTGAATCCATTCTTTGTCTTTTCCCGAACTCTAATTTTCTGAATTCCTCATGACAGTATTCATTCTCTCCTTCTCTCTTTTTTGTAGTCGATTCCTCTTGGATATACTTCTGGAATAACATCTTCGAGCACTAATCTTTTTGGATTACCACTAATACTTCTACTACCTCTATTAATATGGGATTTGAATGAACAATTGTGTCTCAGTGCACTAACATGATAATCGCAACTTCAATTAATGTACGTAAGTACGTAGGAAGTTATTCGTCGTAGTTGGACTGACTAACTGACTGACTGACAAGATTACAGTTACACCTTGATAATGAGTATTAATTCATATGAAACTTAGATCTGGAGTTTCTTGGTCGACTACTTTCATTCCAAACGATTTATAGCACAAATACAAATAAAACTTTTAAAAAAAAACTTACAAGGTTCCGGAAATTTACAATTTATTTCATATGCAACACATCCAATTCCAGGAAAATGTACACCGAACAAACAAGAAACTAAACTAACAAAAGAAAAAGATCATAATAATCAACTGTAGTGCCTCCACACATATATTCAAGTTCGTTTACATTTAATTTGGTTATAAGCCCTATCGATTAATTTTATTTAACCAAGCCCTTTGTATTGCAGCAATTTATATGTACCATTCGTTCTTATTATTACACATTTGAAATCACCAATCAATCATTGTTAGACCACCACCATTGGAAACCTGGAAGCACTGGACGGCCGTTTCGTCCTGGTATGGGACTCACCAGCAGTGCGCATCCACGACTCCTGCAACTCGCAGGATTCGAAACCGGGACCTTCAGTACTGTGCGCGAACGCCTAACCATCGGACCACTGTGCTGGCCGGCATCCAACGCTGCTAATGTCTCACTCTGATTGATCTAGGGATTTTGCGCGACCTCATCCACAATTGTCTTTGGTAGTTACTGCCTACACCCAACAGGGTGGAACTCCATTGGTCACGTCTTCTTAACTAGAACTCCGAGAATTCCCTCACGAAGCTTGTCACTAGTGAGCACTGTTACGATATTTTGGGGCAGAGTTTTGGAGGTTTGCGGTTTTACACATTTGAAATTGTCTGGTTTGTATGAGCTCACATGACATGTCCCAACTGTCATTTGACCTTGTCAATCATTCGTCACTTTTATTCATGTGTGTGCATGCATGCCTATCTCGTTGATCATATGTCTATCTTATTTTTGTCTGACTATATATTCTTATTGATGCTCTATATCTGGGAGTTGGCTCAACAGCCTTCTACAATTCACGTCGCTTCATTCGTTTTATTCACAGGCTTCTCCACTTCGCTTTGTGGTGTGTCCCAAAAATAAACGTATTCAATACACTACGAGTACACCTTCTGATTTATGAAAACCGTCAGACGCTATTTAGTAACGATTGTCTGAACGAGCTAATCACGAAGATTAAGAATACGCAGTAAATCGGCCACCACATAATTATAATAATAAATAAAATGTAAAGATGATTACATTTAAGAATACTCTTCGTATTACATAACACATAAGATCCGAATTAATAAGCAGATATAAGTGAATGAAATGTAATCAGCACAACAGTTTGGAGTGATATTTCTGTTAAATAGTTTAAATGAGTTTGTAGTGTTTTTTAACGATATATCAAGCGAGCCAACAGCACTTGTCCAACAGTCTTTGAAAAAATTAATTAACTCATTCATCCTTCCTCCGTCATTATTCACATACATTTCGATCATTGGTTGTTTTTATTTGAGTGTGTACTTATACTTACTTCAATGTGGTGGCGGTGTTTGGTTCTCTGCGCTGGTTGTTTTAGTTGTGGAGATTTTATTGTTCTTCTTCTGAACAACATCATCATCAGCACAAACTTCACATAGCAGAAGTGAACTATTCGAATTACTCCACGTTCGACCCGTGGCTGGTTCTGTTAACCTCGATCTTGATTGGTTACTCGAGATGGTGGAGAAAACTTGTAGCTCAGGTGGATGATTGTGGTGGCGGTGTTTCGTTCTCTGAGCTGGTTGTTTTGGTTGTGGAGCTTTCATTGTTCTTCTGAACAACATCATCAGCACGAACTTCAGATAGAAGTGAAGCATTAGAATTTCTCCACGTTTGACCTGTAGCTTGTTCTGCTAACCTCGATCTTGATTGGTTGTTGTTGACCTTCGACCTGTCGTTGTTTGCAACTATGTTTTGATTACTTACTTACTTTCGCCTGTTACCCCCAATGGAGCATAGGCCGCCCACCAGTTTTCTCCAACCAACTCTGTCCTGGGCTTCCCTCTCCAGTTCTGTCCAGTGTTTGTTCATTCCTCTCATATCTTTCTCTATTTCTCGGCGTAGTGTGTTCCTTGGCCTTCCTCTTTTCCTTTTGCCTTGAGGGTTCCATGTGAATGATTGTCTTGTGACACAGTTAGGTGCTTTTCGTAGTGTATGTCCTATCCACTTCCACCGCTTCTTCCTGATTTCCTCCTCCATTGGAATCTGACTTGTTCTCTCCCACAGTTCGTTGTTGTATCTTCTGGATGATGGCTTTGGTAGTTCTCCATGTTTCCGCTCCATACAGTAGAACTGTCTTCACATTTGTATTGAAGATCCTGATTTTGGTTTTGTTTGAAAGTTGTTTGGAGTTCCAGATATTTTTCAACTGTAGAAATGCAGCCCTCGCTTTGCCAATCCGCGCCCTCACATCTGCGTCCGATCCACCTTTGTCGTCGATGATGCTGCCAAGATATGTGAAGGTGTTAACGTACTCCAAGGCATCTCCATCAAGCGTGATTCGGTTGGTGCATGTTGTGTTGCATCGGAGAATTTCGCTTTTTCCTTTATGTATGTTGAGACCTACTGCTGCAGAGGCTGCTGCTACACTGGTCGTCTTCTCTTGCATTTGTTGTTGAGTGTGTGATAGAAGAGCCAGATCATCTGCGAAGTCCAGATCGTCCAGCTGCGTCCTAACTGTCCAGTTGATACCGTGCTTCCCTCCAGATGTTGACGTCTTCATAATCCAGTCGATGACCAGGAGAAAGAGAAAGGGTGAGAGTAAGCAACCTTGCCTGACACCGGTCTTCACCTCAAAAGAGTTTTTCAGCTGACCTCCGTGCACGATTTTGCAGTTGAATCCATCATAAGAATTCCGTATGATGTTGACTATTTTCTCAGGCACACCGTAGTGTCGAAGAAGCCTCCACAGTGTTTTCCTATCCACGCTATCGAATGCTTTCTCGTAGTCGATGAAGTTGATGTAGAGTAGTGAGTTCCATTCAATTGATTGTTCCACAATGATCCGTAATGTAGCAATTTGGTCAGTACATGATCGATCCTTACGAAATCCGGCCTGTTGATCTCGAAGTTGGGCGTCTACGAAGTCCTTCATTCTGTTTAACAATACTCTGTTGAAGACTTTGCCTGGTATTGAAAGAAGAGTGATGCCTCTGTAGTTTTCACACTTGCTGAGATCGCCTTTCTTTGGTATTTTGATCAGGTATCCTTCTTTCCAATCTGATGGTACTTGTTCCTCATCCCAAATCTTCTTGAAGAGAATGTGAAATATTTTCGCAGTTGCTGACACATCTGCTTTGATTGCCTCTGCTGGAATGTTGTCTGGTCCTGCTGCTTTGCCGCTCTTGATTTGTCTAATGGCTATACTGATCTCCTCAATCGTGGGTGCGCCAATATTAATTGGGAGGTCCGTGGATGCTGCTTCGATGTTGGGTGTCTTCAGTGGAGCTGGTCGATTCAATAGTTCCTTAAAGTGCTCCACCCACCTATTTCGCTGTTCGTCAGTGTTGCTGATTATTTTCCCTTCCTTGCTTTTCACTGGTCGTTCTGGTTTACGATAGTTTCCGGCGAGCTTCTTTGTAGTTTCGTACAATTGTCTCAAGTTTCCTTCTCTTGCAGCCTTTTCCGCCGTCATTGCTAGATCTTCCACATATTTTCGTTTGTCAGCTCTGATGCTCTTCTTCACTGCCCTGTTTGCTTCTGTATACTCGGCTTGCGCCTTAACTTTCTCTGCTCTTGTTCGGCTGACATTCACTGCTGCCTTCTTGTTCCTCCTTTCTTCAATTTTTTCAAGAGTACCAACAGAGATCCATTCCTTGTGATGGTGCTTCTTGCGACCAAGGACCTCCTGACATGTTGAAGTGATTGCCTCCTTAATATCTTTCCAATTGTTCTCCAATGTTGCTTCCTCTCCATTGAGTAGATCCTGAAAGGCCTGGAACCTATTGGTGAGGGCTATCTTGAATTCGTTGAGTTTTACGGTATCCCGAAGAAAGGCCGTATTAAACTTCTGTGATGTTGTCTGCCCCGTTGCCCAGTGCTTCTTTAGCTTCAATCTCATTTTGGCGATCAGCAAGTGGTGATTCCCTCTTTTGATCTGTTTCTTGATCTAGTGTCAACTATGATTCTCCTGATTGGTTGATAAATTGGGTCAATGTCGATGTGTTTGTTGATTGCTAATTGACCTGAGTGCCAAGCTTCTAAAAATTCTCTAGTGTTCTTTGTCCTCCCCCTACCTAGTATTTCCACATTGTTCCAATCAAATGTGTCCATAATTTTCGGTGTGTATTGATATAAGCGAAGCGTTGTCGTGGCGTTTGACTGCTAATTGATGTTCACGTAAACGGAGCTGAAGAGGCCGTCCACTTTGTCCTATGTAGTGTTTTTCACAGTTTGAGCAATTTATTTTGTAGATGATCTTTGGTTTTTCCTCCTTTGTCATTTTGTCCTTTGGTCTACATAGGATTGATTGAAGTGATTCCGTTGGTTTGTGTGCCACACCTATTCCAAATGGTTTCAGTAGTCGTGCCGTATACTCCGATATGTCTTTGATGTATGGTAAGATGATGCGTTTATTTGTTCCTGTGCTTGATTTCACTTCTGATGATAGTTTTGGTTGATGTTTTTTGATGAAGTTGCGTGGATAGCCGTTCTTTTGGAAGATAGTCATCAGGTGTTTTTCCTCTTTTTTTAATGTTTCGTATGTGCTGCAGTGTGTCTTCGCTCTCTTGAACAGAGTTTGTATGCAGTGGATCTTGTGGGTTCTTGGGTTGTTGCTGTCGTAGTTGAGAATTACGTCGGTGTGGGTTAGCTTCCGAAATACTTGAGTTTCTAGTTTTCCTGTGTTAGTTCTGGTGATTAGTACATCCAGGAATGATAGGCTGTTGTTTGATTCCTTTTCCATCGTGAATTTAATGTCATCAAAGACGTTGTTGATCTGATTGGTTGCTCGAGTTTAACAGAACAAGCTATGGGAAAAACGTAGAGAAATTCGAATACTTCACTTCTCCTCTCTGAAGTTTGTGCTGATGCTATTATTGTTCCGAAGAATAACAATCAAAACTCCACAACTAAAACATCCAGCTCAGAGAACGAAACACTACCACAATCAGTCTAACTGAGCTACAAATTTTCTCCACTATCTCATTAATCCACAGTACCTCTAATTATCTTTGTGTTGATGAAGACATGAAGGTATAATAAAAAGTCAAGTACAGTGTTTGAACACAAGCAATTCAGTAAACAATTTTTTTAACAAACAATTTTAAATTTAACAGAAAATGAAAGAAAACAGACATTAGAATGGCATTTGACAGCCTACTTGTTAGTAAGTAGTACATTTATAGATATAATGATTTGAACAATATAAAAATGAAGTAATATTAAGTGATTAACATTAACTATGCAGCAGAAATCCTCAGTTTTCCATGGTCTGTCATTGTAAAGGATTTATCAAAGTGTATTTTTAATTCCCAAAAGTGAATAATGCCAGATTTAATAGACTAGTATGGGTTAAGTTGTATGGTAGGTAAGAGATGGTGGAGAAAATTTTTAGCTCAGGTAGACTGATTGTAGTGCTTTTTTATTCTCTGAGTTGATTGTTTTGATTGTGAAAAATATGGAACGCTACACACAGGGCCCTCTGCTAATCTTCTCTGTATCGTTCTATAATTTTATTATGTGTTCCACCGAAGCGAAGATATTATGAGATTATAAATAATCCGATAGGAAAATCAAAAACACTTTTTACATTAAAATAAAACAAGAAGAGATTAAAATTACCAAAAGTTAACTAAGATTATTTAAATCAATGAAGAAAAAAAGTTTTCACTCGGTTTGTTTTCTATGTCTATTTCCTTCATCACAATGAATGAATTAATTATAAAGAAAGTGAGGAATTGTTATGACTCGTCAACTGATATGCTTGAATACTATTACGAGTTCACCTTAGTCGGTAAATGAGAGCTAAGACAAGTGATCCTGCGACATGATACGCCATTCTATTCCGAACGTCCCAAGTCCTCACAAACGGTGCCAAAAAGTCTTGATATGACGTAGAAAGTGTATTCTACTATAAGCAGCCAGAAAATATGAGGTTTTGTACAGAGGAAGAAGAAGAGGAGCCTAAAACTTTACAAACAATGTGTATTTATAGAGTTAGGTCGACCGTGAATACTAACCAATAGGAAAGAACATTTAAAAAAGTATGTGAACTTGATAGTTTAGGACGACCTTAAATATTGACCAATAGGAATCGACCAATAGAATTAGACTCACAAAATAATTTCTTCAAGATATTTGATGAGTATTCTAACAGGAAAACACTGAAAAAGTAAGAAATCTTGAAATGATTTGCAATTTGTATTTGATATCTCTATTTATTGCATGTATGTGACTAATTTTATGAGTGAATTCAAGTACATCCAACTTTGTTAATGAGAATGTTCAGTTGCTAGATCAACTTCGAAAGTACAGATTTTTGTTTCAGAAGATACAGTTTGAGCTTTATAACTTCAAAATGTTTCAAATTCGTCTCCTTTGGAACTTAGAAAAAGTCTGACTGATGCCATATCTTGGTCTGATCACCCTCAGCTTTCTTCCAATCTGTATTTACACCATATAACATAGCGCGTTGATTTAGAGAGCGGTAGAGTATGTGTAGAGATTCGAAAGAAAATAATAAATAAATTTAACTGCGTCGCCGAAATTAATTTACAGTTATCTCACATAACATCTAGAGGCATAAGTTACAATTATTCCAAAAGTCCCAAGCTGGAATATCACAATTACCAACAGCATATAAAAAATAATTAATAATTTCATGGAATGATGACATAAATATATATGGCTTTTCCCGTCCCGTAAGTTTCTGTTACAGATGCACGTAAAAATGGTAGTTGATAAGCTTGAACTATTACGAGTTTACCTTAGTCAGTACACGTGAGCGAGGATCGATGATCCCGGCCATTGGACAGGCTACTCTAATCCGAGTGTCCCAAAATCCCATTAAGTAGAAAAAGAAGACTTAATATGAAGAAGAACCTGTATTCTACAAACATTCAGAAAGTACGAGGTCCGAGTCCAGAAGAGAATCAGAATACCGGTTACATATAATGCGTATTTATACATTTAGGTAGAATAGGAAACAACATTGAAGTCTGTGACATTGACAATTAGGATGACCAATAGGAAACAAGATTTGAAGTGACCTTGATAGTCAGGACGACCAATGGGAAACAAGATTAAAGTACGTGATATTGATAGCTAGGACGACCATAATATTAACCAGTAAGAATCGACTAATAGAATTAGACTTACAAAAATAATTCTCTTAGGACATTTGATGAATGTCCTAACAGTTTCCTTTCACACTACTCTCATATCATCCTACTTCCTTTTTATTATATACTATTCATTAGTTGTTAAAATAAAAGATATGAATTCATAATTATTATTTACAATTAGAAATAAATAAAACAAAAATAATTCAATGCTCAACATCAATGAAATAAGTTTACCCTTGAACTAATATTCCATGTACAATACATTTTCCATAACGTGTTTGTTTAGCATAATCCAAATCTAAATGAATTGGATTCATATCACCGGTAAGTTTGGCAAAATCATTCACATCTTTAGTTGTAATTTTTCTAATAAATGAAATTCGATCACCAATTGCAATAAAACGTTTTGATGGGAATACAATTTGATAATGATTTATTTGTTTTATGATTGAAAATCTACAGAGAATCATCTAAAATATGAAAAAGTTGAAATTTCGATGAAGATTTATACAACAATAGTAAAGTGGATTCTAAAACTATGTAATACATAGGTGGGGACTATAGATCTACAGATCTGTATCTGTGTAAAAATGTCTTGATTTGAAAGTCTGAAGGTTAATGACTCAAATATCACTTCTATATTAGTTACTAGTTTTGAAGATTTGTCTGTCGAAAATTTAAAAGAAATATACCCTCTCTCTTTACCAAGTAATCGGTTACATAGTTACGACATATGCATACGAATATCATGGAGAGTGGGTGATCTCTGAACTGACAGTAAAATGCCTAACTGTGAGTAGAGTATTCACATATAAACCTAACTATCTAAACGAAAATTTGAAGATTCAAACAACTTGTTACTTTTGTTGACAATCCATGTTGTGTTACAGTACGAAAATGACTGAAGTATCAATTATTCATGATTATTGATCGGGAAAAATAGTTTGATTGAAAATCTTAAATTTTTGGCGTCTAATTTACATTACGCTTCGCGTTATTAGAATACATATTTCTCCGGAAGCAGATCAAACAAACTTCATTTTGTAGGATACTTTAGTTTGTACTGAGAAATAGTGAAAAACATTTCTACTTCTATAGAAAATGCATTTACAAAATATTTGTTTAACAAAACTGATTCACTGAAAATCTATTCTTTTTAAAACATGAATTCCATACCGAGAATTGTTAGTCAACACAACAAAATACTTACAGAACAGAAAAAGAATATAGGTCTATGATTGAAAAATTAAAGTGAAACTCATTTGGTTATAATTTTACTATGTGACTGTAAAACTGTAACTTCATCTATTGTTTGTGACTAGTTATTACAAATAGTTTTCATACATTAGGCTCTACTGAAACTATGTATGGTCGGTCGAAAAGATATGTAGATTTTAACTAACTACTGAGATGTTTAAAAGTAGTTCATTGTTTTTATCTCAAAATCTTCCAAACTTATCGAGCATAGTGTCCCATTCAAACAATAGATAAATTATCAGCATTACAATAAATTAAGTCTATGTAATCATCGAATACTTCAAAGCAGAGTTTTCATTTTAATTTCAAACAATCGAAGAAGAGCTTATCAATTAGCTCAGTATCAAAATAAATTATCCAGTAAATCTATTAAACTGAGAGATTAAGATTATGTTAGAAATCTATCGCATGAAAGTGTGATCAATCACACACAAGTTAAAAAAAAACTTCCTATAAACTCTGCAGTTGATGGTTATTAGCACTTAACGACGTTTACTCACAACCTGAGGTGATGTTATGAACGTATACTTCATCCAGAAGCACAGAAAATTACTACTAAGTCGTTTAGAATTGTACTAGTAGTATGTACAAGTATGTACGTACTAGTAGTATGTACAACTGTATTAATCACCGAATGAATAATTAGTGTCACATTAGTTATTCATACAAAATGGATTTCTGGTTATTTCCCTTCAAATATGAGTTAAAGTTCAATCTACTAATCAGATATGAACTTTTTTCTCGCTCTGATCAAGAAAACATCAAATCCTTTTATTCCAGAATTATGATAATATTCAGAATAACTGGTTAGAGGAGATTTTTCTTATTATTCCAAAGTATATATAAATAGGAAGATAAAAATGAATGGGTTACAATGATTTTCAACTGTAGAGTATCATGATATTGCGTACATTTAATGTCAACTTTGAACTAATTAAAACAACTAGACAAAATGAACTTAACTTTTAAGCGATAAAATCCTTCAGTCTCGAGTATATGAATTACTTTGAAATCGTGAATCAATCATTGTTAGGCCACGAATAGAAACCTAGAATCACAGCACGGCCATTTCGTGCTGGTATGGGTGTCGTCGAAAGTGCGCATCCACGACCCCCAGTGTTCGAACCCAGGACCTTCTGTCACACATGCAAACGCCTGATCTCTGAACCATTAGGCCGGCATCCAACGGTGTTAATGTCTAACTTTGATCAATCTAAGAATTTTTGCACAACTGTACCCATTGTCTACCATCCAGTAGTCCACAAGTCAAGTGTTTTCGCACGAGACCGAAGATCTTGGGTTCGATTTCTGCAATTATTAGGAGTCACGGATGCGAACTTCTGAAGAGTCCCATAATAGGACGAAACAGCCGTTATTGATGGTCTAAAAATGATTGGTTCACCATTTCCATGTAAAACAACAATCTCCATAACTCTATAGTGAGAAATTCAATATGAACTATTAATCGATAAAAAAGCATAACTCACAATTTATTCAATCATTTGTTTTGTGTAGGTGGACATATAAAAACAATAAAAATCGTAAGATCAAGGAGATTTATTATCAGAAAGAAAAAATTACGTCAGAAACTAGTGAAATAATTAAAAGTAAGAAATAACAAATTATAACAAAACTCCAAATTTTTCAATTAGAGTTATGGAGATCATTGTTTTTACGCAGCTGAAATCATCAATCAATCATTGTTACACTACCATGAGAAACCGGGATGCGCACTGCTGACGAGTCTCATACCAGGACGAAACGGCCATCTAGTGCTTCTAGGTTTCTAATGGTGGTCTAACAATGACTGATTGGTGATTTCAACTATGTAAAAACAATAATCGCTATATCTCTAATTGAAAAATCATAAAGTGTGCTTACTAGTGACTCGCTTCGTGAGGAAATTCTCGGAGTTCTAGTGGGAAGACGTGACCAGTGGAGTTCAACCATGTCGCGAGGAGGCAGTAACTACCATAGACAAATGGGTGGTGTCACGCAAAATCTCTAGATCAATCTGAGTTAGGCATTAACACCGTCGTATGCCGGCCCAGTGGTCCAGAGGTTAGGCGCTCGCGCACAAGACCGAAGGTCCCGGGTTCGAATCCTGCGAGGAGCAGGAGTCGTGGATGCGCACTGCTGATGAGTCCCAAACCACGACGAGACAGCCATTCAGTGCTTCTAGATTTCTAATGGTGGTCTAACAATGACTAATTGATGATTTCAAATGTGTAAAATCTACATATGTTATCATGACTTATTACAATTTCTAATTAAATACTTTGAATTATATGATTTCAACACAGCTGACCCAAAAACAGCATATTTCTGTAACTTTAGTTACGGATTGGAATCAAATAACTGAGAACTCTACCGCTAACGTAAATAAACAAGAGAAAGGGATGGACAATGAAAGATAAGCAATAATTATACTAAAAGACAACAGTGAATAAGTATTCTTTCAATTATTCGGTGTGTGTTAGTTTAGCGAACTGAAGTATCATTTCTTGTTATTTTGTTCCGTCTTAGTTTTAGCTTTGAATGACGAAATAATTAAGTAAGTTTAACATTCGTGGTATATGAAAATAAAACTACACATAAAACATGAAGTACACACTAAAATACAAATAAAAACGTTCATGATGCATTTTGTCAGAGCTGAGTACACATCACTCACTGTAAACACGCGCAAATTATCAATATAACAATGAAATCAATTAAAATAGTACATTGTTATTGAAATAAACATCTATTTGTTGATTACAGGGTAATTATTTTTACTCCGTGATAGTTGATCATTGAAAATGTTTCATTCACCATTTACACATCACGAAATAATCTTATTTAGTACATCAATGAAAAAGCAGAAAGCATTGAAAAAGTGTTTTGTTCTAAGTATGGAACTCATCACGAATAGGTGTATTTACGATTCTACATGATACAAACTATGCAACTCAACAAGTTCCATGTATTAATGAATTGGTCAAAAGCCAAAAGCTCTATATAGACACAAATTATTTGAACGATATACACAATTTGGCCAATATCATCATCTTTCTTGTAAGCAAAGACAGATTTCCTAATCAAATGTTAACTTCAATTTTCTAATTTCATATTTCTCAAAGAATTTTTTTTAAAATACAAAGACTTGTTCAAGGAAAAAAAAATGCTTCATTATTTATTCATTGAGTTAAGTTACAACAGTTTAATTTCCAGTTTATAGATTCGGTTCAATTTTGACATAACTCATGTTAACTTTAAAGAGACTGAAAATTTTTTTATTGTACATTGAATCTCAGTAGTATATACTCTTCCTTTCACTCCACACACACACACACACACAATCGTATTTGCCGTCGTCAAACCTGCAAAAGTACATTCAGATCATTTCTATATTAAAGTAAGCACTGAAATTATTATCAAGTAAGACAATAAACACATCCGTACAATCAAACTATTTACACCATAGAGAACAATACAACACCATCAGCAAACATATTCAAATCAGTATTTTCTAACTGTTTAGTTAAATTTCAAAAGTATTCTTGTATGTTCAAACTTTTATACAAAATCAAATCAATACAAATATTTAGTTTATACGTATTATTTTATTCACATGTACATGCCTCACGAAGTAACAATCAACGATATATATATATATATATTGTAATTATCATCATCATCGATCATCAACAGCAACGTGGAACTTTGCACGTAAGTACATCAGTTCAAGTTGTGTCATACCATATTAGCACAGAGAGATGAAATTGTCAATGCCAATCCCATAGTAGTAGAGGTAGTAAAAGTATTTGAAGTAATCGGAGAGATTAAGGTTCAAAGATGTTATTCAAGAAGTATAATTCAGTGAAGTAAATTTAGAAAGAGAAAGATAGAGGTGATGAGGGATTCAGAAGGTTAGAATTTCATACAACACAGAGAGTAAATGCACTTGTGCTGATCGAAACAAGGGTTGGTCGAGGAGATAAGAGAGTTATTAAGAGGTGAAGAAAGGATTTGATGGTGATTCAATTCGATCTCGTGTGTTTTTATGGGTATAAGGGCGGATATTACTTCCGAGATGCCCACACCGTGGAAGAGTTTTTCTTGAGGAACCTGAAAAGGAAGGTAGATTAGCGTTGGTCTTAACAACCTGGGAGCGTGACTGTAGAGTCCAGGGGACAAGTGCTTGAGGCAAGTCACGCACGGCCTTTTTATAA